TTAGGAGCAAGACCTAAACAAGCCAAAACAATCGCAATTCAACGTCGTATTGATAATCTTGGTCAACGATATTATGATGGCGTTATAAGTGCTATGGAGTACTTAGATGGCTTATCATATACAGTGGCAAAACGAAAAAAATAGCATTTTCTATTTTTTTCTGTTTTCTATTTTCATTTATGTTTTATTTCGATTATCATATGTTAGTATTAACGTACGCAATAAAACATCCTTCTCTTAAGTCAGAATTCTAAAATACTCTTTTCGATCATTTTCCACAACAATATATTTTTTTCGACATTTTTCCCCATCGATTTTTCGACGTTTTTCCTTTCGACATTTTTCCTTTCGACCTTTGGACGGCCAACCAACGCTATTGGCTAAGCAATATTGATGATATCATTTTAATTATCTTATACTTGAAACTATAATTTTCTTTGAAAATCCAGCGTTTTAAAATCATATTGTTACACAGCGAAAAATTTTATTTAAAAAGTGGAAAAAAGATATATTAAGTTTGTTTTTCAAACTTTTACTTAAATTTTCAACGAATTTTCTATGATTTTTTTAATCCCGAGATCATCGTATAACAAAATGACTATTTTGATGCGTACACGTCAAGTTAAAAACAAAAAAAAAACTCGCGACGGACTACATGAATGCTGTGCTTCGCACCGCATTACAAATATCGCAAATACTGTGCGTGGCTATTATTTAACAAATAATAACCAATAGGAAATTCCAATATTTTATTTGAAAGCTTTTGATATAGGTAAGAATCTTGGTGAATTCTGATGTTTTAGGACAAGTGAAGACAATAATATTTTACTTGTATATACCTCATCACTTTGAATTCTCTATCTGTATAGAATTTATTTTAAATCCACAGTTGTAATTACGCCATCTTATGAGATTTTCGCCAAAATTGTGCAAAAATGAGTGCTAGATAATATATTTTAGCAGCAAGACTGCATTTTTACTAAATTACTGTTGTAAAAGCTAGCAAGTCGATATTTACGTGCACAAAGATTTTCATAGTGGATACACTATAAGTTTATTGAATATAGAAAATACAAAAACTGGTATTCATACTGCCAAAAAAATCTTATCAACGCGTAGAAAAACGTAATTTCGCAACGAAGTAAAGAAAAGGACAAGAACATGTTGTTGTTTTTAATTCATTCGAAAACAACTTTTGTAGTTGCTTTTTTATTCTTCTGACGGCGCGTGATCTATACAGAAAGTGAGTGTTTATAGCAATGAAATTATGTGGGTTTTTAAGCGAACCTTGTTTTAGTCTTATACATGTAATTGTGTGAAATCATATGAATACTTTTGTAACTCTGATATGAAACTCTGCTTTTGACGAATTATAGAAGTGTTAGTACGATTTCTAATATTTGCAGTAAAGAAAGTTATTCACCATCAACATCACATATGCTTCACAGCTTCATTCGAAGTTATAGCTTGATCAAAATACACTTTTCATTTTGATGATATGATGATTGTGTTGAATCAAGGTATCACTAATCATATACAAATTGTGATATTAAAAGTATTCATAAGTTTTATTTCAGTAGAGCAAATTTTGAGGAAAGACTTGCTATAATAATAGCGGAAAATCGCTAGGCTTCGACTAGAAACTTATATAATTCCTACTTAACTTCAAAAAATAGTTGAGAAATAGAATGAAGCATATATTATCTTGTTAGGTTCTATGTATTTTTACGTCTTCTAAATTAATCCATGAAATACATATTTTAGACTCACCACATGACTAATAATGCACCAACCTTCATCAAAGATATTGCAACATGCGCCATTTGCCTAGATTATTACAAAGATCCTCGATTATTGCCTTGTTCACACACTTATTGCTACAATTGTATAAATCAATTAACAAAAAGAAATCAATTCAGTTGTCCACTAAATGATGATACAATTATTAACGCGGAGGCTATCAGCAAGCTACCAATGAATCGTACAGCAAAGGACATGGCTGAATTTTTATCCAGTATGACTCAAGATTATGCTAACTTAAAATGTGGAAATTGTACTACCAACTTATGCACATATTGGTGTGAAAAATGTGATAACTACCTGTGTGTTGCCTGTTCTGACAATATTCATTCACAGAAAATTCTTCAAAGTCATGTAGTTGTCCCTGCTAATCAAAAGCCTTCTTCCAATGTATGCTCAGATCATCCAGATGAGAAACTAAAACTTTGGTGCGTGACATGTGAAACGCTGGTATGTCGGGATTGTCTTTTATTCAGACACAAAGATCATGTATACACTAGTTTACAAGATATTGCCCAAGAAACAAAATTGAAAATCAAATCATCACTTCAACCTATCAGAGAAAATCTTGAGAAGACTGCATCGAAAACCCATCGTACTATAGAAGAACAACATCAGAATTATGAAGCAACTACGCTAGAAATTGACGAAACGTTTAAACAATTGTACAAATCTCTAGGAAGTAGAAAAATGAAATTGATGGAACAGTTGAACGAATATCGGGCAAAGGAAAAATCTCTGCTAGAAAAATATCAAGGTGATATCAATGAACAACTGAAGGCTATACAAGCTAGAGAGGCTCTCGTCCAACAAATATTCAATAATAATGATAATATCCAGATCATGAAAATGAGAAAAACCCTAGTAGATTATGATCAAACAATTGATCAACAATATCAACGTATTGAGCAGGGATGTACTTTTTCGAAAGCTAGTTTCAATATTGGTATAGATTTGAAACAAACAATTGATGAGTACGGTACTATCAAGACTGAAGATATTATTTTAAACCCAAATGGTATTCAACCAAAAAGAAGCTATATATCTTTAAACTTATCTAGACCTTCAGTTACGAACTCAACTTATCAATATGAGGTGCAGCGTGGTCGTGGTTATCTATTTCAGATGCAGAAACCATTGAAAATTCGATCAGTTCAATTAGAAGCATCGATACATGGACAAGTAGTTGCTTATGTAGTAAATAATACAGGATCTGTTATCAAGAAGGAATCATTTATTTCGAATGACACGACTATGAAATGGACAACGATTCCGATCATTGCTGAATTGAACACTGGGTACTCCATTTTAGTCTGGTCACCAAATACGACTGGACAATTTTCATACCAAGAAGGAGATAATAATTTTCGTGCAGTTGATCAAGTTTGTTCAATTGAAAGTAAACATGCTGATATAAGCCATGACTTATCGATTGGAGAACAATTGAAGTTGTTGCAAAATTCGTACTCAATTCGAATGATTATTGACATTGAACAATAAAACTATTTATGCTAAATTGGTCGAAATATATGTATTAACGATGCAAGCTTCTGTCTTGAGGGTGTCAGTATAGGGTGTGGGACATGTGAACCACAAATACTGTCATATATGCACGTCACCCACACTCTCAAGAGTTAATTTTTTTCAAAAATTACAAAAGTTTCAGAGTTTTATTTGATTAGGGCAATTATTCGTTGGACCATCACTATTGACAAAAGATCTTCGATAGATAGCTTTCCATTCCAGATCGATCATTCGGACCACTTGTAACAGCGGCGTATCGAATCAAAAACATGTTTACTTTAATTCAACGTCATCCATCATATTATTTTATAAGTCACATTTTTGCTAGAAAACGACCATCATTCTCCTCAGTTTTCATCCGTAGTCTGATATGGCGGATTACGACATTGCTTTCTTGAATCTGGGACGATAGATCTCACAGGATGCCATTTTGAATTCTTTACCGTGATATGCGGTAACTAAATATACAACTAACTTATTTGATGTTAAGATTGAATCATATGCTGATCCTTTGACACCAACTAATAAATTTACAAAAACCGCTAATACAGTGAAAAATAGCAGCGTGATAATGATGAACTTGATGTCATTATGCAACATGTTTTATATCTAAAAATAATAAAGCAACACTGTCTAATTATGCAAAAAGAAGATTTGTCAAAATTATACAGATTCCTTTTTTATCGATTATCATAACGTTGTGCTATCGTTTGTCGTTTCGTTTACACTTTGACATTTATTCTGTTCTCAAATCAATACGCTGATAAAAATCCTAACAATAGTACTGAACAGTTCCAAAAAACTAGTATACAACGTTTGGGAAAGGGCATATGTGGGTCTGGGTATTGATATTCGCATCAATATCATTTTGTACGATGGCATGCGTGTTCGTGTGATATTATTTTGTCATAGATTTATCCAATCAAAGTGATATCCACACAATAATATCCGGTAGAAATCTAAATGAATAATACTTAGGTAGAAGTATCCACATATTCCGAGAAAAGTGATTTTATTTGATTTACAGAGACAATCAACAAAGAAAGCAAATCTACAACACTAACGTGAAAATGACCCATACTCCTTGAAGACTGCATTAAAAATCTATGTAGTTTCTAGCACATCAAGCGACAATGTCATTTGCTAGTGTCAGTTGCAAAACTACGAGTTTAGTTGGACTTCTTGATTAAAACAAATCATATTTAGGTAAAGACGATTCTGTCACCCACACCCTTAGGGAAAATTGATTTGACAGTTGCATGGCAAAAAGAAGAAGTCGACGAACTTAAACGATTTACCCACCACCAGCAAATTACTAATACCACATAACGAAACAGTCAAGCAGTGTGAAAATTTGAAGAAGAATCGAAACAACAACTGAACCATACACAATTAGTTCATCACATCCATACAACACACAGATCACCGTTTAATATATAATTAGCTCAATAAACTCGAATTTATCAAACTCTACACTGAATCAAGCAAGGATACTACTCTCTAAGTAGCCTCATGTTGCCTTCTAAACACACGCAATCCTTCTATACAAAAGCTTTTATATGCACCACTGTTAAATAATAATTATATATATCTTTATAATTTGAATGCTTTGATTTAAGAATTACAATATCTATACAAACATTATATTAAGATATTTGGAGCATCTTTTTTTTTCTAATGAGCTATTTAAATAGTACAATATCGACCAGAGCAGTTTGGCGATGCTACGAGTGCATAAACAAAGAAATCTTTGCAGTTCGTGACCGAAATCATATTAGACATATAGCAAGTGTTTGTGTTCCAATTGTAGCAAACTTTTCCAGTCACGGTATCACCACGCTGTGTCGGCATCAATCCTGTGTAATAACCAGTATAATATGCGCCACAACGATTTGGCGGTATCATACTGGTAGCCAAAAGAGTTCCGGCCGCACCTGAAAATCGCACCCACTTGGCCAAATAAGCGAACTCGTTGGGATCACATTTTGGTCCTGATGATGAGTTAACATATGCCGAGTCCCATCGGTGTTCAACGTATAATTCCAACATTGAGGAGGAAGAGGAGTCTCTGTTGTGGTTACTAAAATTTTCCTACATGTTTCATTCAAACAGATAGTTACTGAGCTACTGACTTGGTTCTGGTGGTGGACATTGTGTTTGCGAGTCTGCCATCACAATTGGATAACAAACCGGTCGTTGACATCGAGTATTCGTTACGCAGATTGTGTTAGATTCAGAGCATGTTACACCATCCGGATTGCACAATGTCAAATTCGAGCAGGGTACCTGTGAATGGGCACAAATCTGTCCTCCAATCGCCATTGAATAGCATTCACAATCATAATTTGTCGAGCATGGCACACCAGCGGGTCGTGGAACGCAGTACGACCGTGAAGAACATTCTAAAGCTTCAATTAGAAAATCCATTTTTGATCTAGTCGACAACTAAGTAAAAATCATATTTCTCGAATCATACCTGCTTGATATGAATGGATGTAGAATCTAGGAAAATACACAATGGCACTGAGTGTTATACTCAACAGAGAAACTTACGCTAGCAATATCAAATAAATCATTTTCACCGAGTGCCGTTTCTCTCTTTGAAAGAAATCATGAGGTTCTAATCAGAAGCGTCGTTTTATTATCCTCAATATTTATCTAAAGCTCACCAGTAATTGATATTTGAAAATAAGCAGAAATCTAATATAAGTCCGCAAGCTTAGCAAATATGCACTCACAAAATATGACTATTGTCAAAGAAAAATATCATTCCTATCAGAAGTCAATATAAAAACATGACACCAGAGGGATCTACGAAAATTGGTCGAAAATTTTGTAATAGAAGAACAAAAGCTTTTTTTTTAAAGCAGCCCGAACTCTGTAGTGTAAAGCTGAAACTAGCACTAACTGCATTATCATGTTAATACTAGAGGAAAATAGTGATTCGGACAAATAAATTAGGCATGCATAATAAACGAAAGGTAGTTTAGAACTTACGAAGAAGGCTATCTAATTATTTTAGTAACGTTGCCTATTTTGAGAACACGGTGACCACCTCAACCACACCTGCACCCACACCCACACCCTCATTTGATTATTCAGGTGCTGGTGTTGTTCAATCACCAGGCACAAAACGTAAATTTGCTGATGCTGATTTGACTAACTGCTTATCAACAAGATTGATGCATTAACAGATCAAGTGATGGATTTAAACAAGAAGTATGAAAATAGTACTGAAGAAATTCGACGAATTCGAAAAACCAATGATAAAATTCAGAAAATAACTTATGCATCAACAAAAGCGCAAAAATATGTACGTTTACACTTGATTCTGTTTATATTAATTTAAAAAAAAAATACTATTTAGGATCATGTTATCAATGAAACAGTTGAGAAATTACTGGCGGTGGTAATCGTTTAGTCTTTATCTTTAATGCCACATGACTGCTTTTTTTTATTAGACATACGATAGGGAAAATCTACTGATTGGTCTATTACCACCATCACCAACAATTTTCTTATGTAGGCTTATCAGACGATTATATTCGACTGATGAGATTGTTGAAGGTGTCAAAGAACATCCTCGTTTGTTGTTAATAAATGGTAAGTGTTAAGGTGTACTTTCACTTCTTTATTAGCAGGTTCGATAACATACACTTTAACAACAATTAACAAGAACTCCAAACAATAATAGGGACAGATATATTCGTATTCAATTATCTCCAACGAGATAAAGAATATATAATGTGTAGAGGACAATAGGAGAAAGAAAGATATCGCTATCGAGGTAGATGATGCTAATGATCTGTGTGTACATACACAGATCATAACAGTAAGTCATTGATTTCTTGGATTGATTTTACTTTATTTTATTCTTTCTAGAAACAGTTTGTGCGGGTTATTATTCAAGTGATACGAATAAATTCGATGTGTTTTGGACAACGCAAGGCATTAAGACGCTACAAGGTCAAGCGAGATTGCAAAAAAGCCGAAACAAAAAAAATCAGTTTGAGTTTTTTCACAATAATTTATAATTAGCTATTTATAATATCATGGATTATTTTAGAGTTAATCAAAATGAAGATTTAATCGACAACAAAAATGACGAAAGAAACTTTGATTAGGAATATAAAAAATTGTAATCTTTTGTATTGTGAAATGTGTTTCTTGCACATGTGAAAATTAACCTGTGATTTTTTTGAAACTATAACTTGTTTATTTTTTTGTGTGATCGTTTCATGTATAGCCGCAGTGAAAAATGTTGAAATTATAAATAAAAAGTGTTTCTCAGCGAATTTCGGTGAACGCAATCCTATCTGACAACAAATAAACCAATAGAAAAAAAACCAAACTGCATAAATGCACTTTCTCGTGCGCATGGCGTACACGTACGAGGTGTGTTGTGCCGTGCGCGCACCAGTAGCGTATGAGTTGACTTGGGTCGATATGTTGAACCATTTCTGATTTATTATCTAGTTTGTTTATGAGTTAATAGGGTTGATGCATTTTCTTTTTGATGCCTACTTTTGTTTCACGATTGTAAATTTTTGGAGGATCACAATCACATTGAACTTGATGTATTACCGATCTGGATTGTGGTTTCATCGATTGATTTAACACAGATTGTAACTTGTTTGGATAAGAGAAGCACAATTTAATATTTAATTTTCCTAATCTTCGTTCGAGTAGTTCAATTCCTGGAACATACGGTAAGTTTATCTTGTATTTAAATTCTTTGTTGTATGGTGTTGATGAAGTTTTGGTTGTTGATGTTTCACAAGTGTTACAGTCATATGTTTACATTCCTTGACTCACTTCTTTCTTCACAATGTATTTATTCAACTCGTATTCCTTGATGCTTTATTCTCTTTTATATAATATCCTCTCTTCTCTCGCTTAACGTTATCTCTTTTGATTCTTAATGAAAAGAACATCGAGAAAGGAACAGGGATACTCTAATAACAAGCTTCTTTAATATAGTTTTTCTATTATGTTAATTGGATAATCGGAGTTAATTAACATTCTTCGTAATGTGCTAAGATCCCATGGTGGAAAAACCGGAGTAAAATTGACGGTTTACCGCCGGTATTTTTCGATTAACCGGTTCGCTGAACGTTTATAAAAAATTGTTGCTAAAAGTCATTGATCGGGCTATTTTAGGCATCTTTTTTTCCTATATGATGACGGTAAAAAAAGGGTACCGGAAAAACTAGCGGTTAACCGCGGTATTACCGCTCCGGTTACCGGCTCCCATTTCATGCAAATTTACCGCTTTTCTAAAATTACCGCGGTTTACCGCAAAAATTGAAGCGGTATTCGCGACATGGGATCTTCTTGTTGTTCTTTAGGATCGCTTGTTGTTTTAATGATTCTTTGGGTCATATTTTTGACTATATTTGTTGTTACAGATTTGTTGTGACTGAAACGATAATTTAGAAGACGATCAGCTACTGTTTCTTTTCTAAACCATCTTATTTTTTTTCTTGTTTGTTGTTAATTGTTTCTTTGGTTATTGTTGTGTCTAGGAAGTTAATTTTATTATTCTTTTCATATTCATACGTGAAGCGTATCGTTCCTTTTATATTGTTTAGATAATTAACATATTGCTTTAAGTGTTCTTCTTCCATGGTTGTTATAATTAAAATGTCGTCCACGTAACACTATAATTTCGAAGGTGTGTTGATCTGCTGCAGGTGTTCTTTTGAATAGTGATCCATATAAATGTCGACGATTAGAGGACTTAGCGTGTTGCCCATCGGTAGTCCGTATTTTTGATTATAAAATTTGTTGTTGAACTGAAGATAATTATTCTTCAGTGATAGTAATAGTAGATTTTTAATATCTGTTTTTGTTAATTTAAGATTTTCTAGTTTTTTTTGATTGAACTAATTTTTCCATAGTAATGCCTACTGCTTTTTGAACTGGTATGTTGGTGTATAAATCACATATATCAAGGTTTGCGAATCATCCGTTTTCTGTAATCGATTTTTCACTTATTTCTTCTACAAATTTCAATATATTTATTACTGTTCCTGCTATTGTTGATCGTAATTCTTTTATAATTTGAAATACAAATCGTGAGATTGATGATAATATTGTGTCTCGACTGCAGGTAACAATTCTCATCGGGTGATTTGCTTTGTGCAACATTGGCTGTCCACGTATTGTAGATAGATCATCAATGCCAGTTAATTGATATTTCTGTGCTGTATTAATTTTCTCTTGTTGATGTAATTTTGTTATGTACTTAATTTAGTTTTTAATTTCTCAGTAGGATCTTTCATGAGTTTTTCATACACCTCTTTATCATTGAGTTTTTCTTCGACTTTATCAAAATATTCTGATTTTGCCCATGATTACAATTTTTCTGCCTTTATCTGCTTGTATTATAACTATTTGGTTCATTGATGTAATTTCATTTAATACTTTGATTTCTTCTTTTACCATATTATTTTTTTTTTCGTTTTTTCCATGTATTGATGAATGCTGTTATTTGTGATATTGCTGCTTTCTTAACTATTTGTGGCGTTGAATTTAATGATGTTTCACAGTTTGTAATTGTAGTTTTGGCGTTGATACTATTCTGAGTTGGAACAAATTCAAGTCCTTTTGATAGAACTGCTAAATATTTTTCATTTAATTTTGCTTTTGATATATTAACTACATTATCTGTATTTGTTTTTACCGTTGTTAAATTATTATGTTCTTCTATATCATTAGGTATTTGTTGTTGTTGCTTCTCCTGTTTTTTCTGTTCTTCTTGCAGACTTTTAATTTTCTTTGACTGATTTTTAATTAAGTGTTTTTTAAATTTTCCATCGTATTTGTGCATCCAATTTATAGTATTTTGAACTTGTATGTTTGATGTTGCGTTCTTTAAATAACATGCTATGATAGATTCTTGTGTCTTGATTTCGATCAGAATGATTTTTAATTGTTTTTGTTGGTGTTGTAGAGTATTGTTTCTTAATTTATGTATGGTTTCATTTAATATGTTTTGGTTTTTGGTTGATTTTGTTTCATCCTTCAGTTTCTATCCATTTGGAATGAGGTTCAGTTGTTTACAATTTTGTAGGAATATTACGTGTTGTTTTAGTTTTATTTTATTTTTATAAAGTTTTTGTAGGTTGTTCGTGATAGTATACAATCTCTCGCCGTAGCGGTTTTTGAATTCTTGCTTTTTAAGAAAGGTTGATAATTCTGTATTCATTTTAATATTCTCTTCCTACTTTATTAATATTTATTTATTTAATTTTAATATGACGTTTCGTTGTAGTTTACAACTTCATCAGACATGACTCTATGTACAATTTTTACAATTGAAATTATAATTTAAGATCATACAGTTAAATATCTACATTGTGTAAGGGATACAACAAATGTAAAAGGTGTAACAATTAGACTAGTTCGTTTTGTTTTTTCTTTCTTCGTTGATCTTCTTTACATTTTGTTTAATAGTGATATGGAAATGAACTATCAAACCAGAACAATGCTACTACCGTCTTGTTCCGTATCACTATTGAACAAAATGTAAAGAAGATCAAAGAACAAAGAACAAAGAAAATGAACTAGTCTAATTTTCGCACCTTTTACATTTGTTGTATCCCTTACACAATGTAGATATTTAATTGTATGATCTTAAATTGTAATTTCAATTGTAAAAATTGTACATAGAATCATGTCTGATGAAGTTGTAAACTACAACGAAGCGTCACATTAAAATTAAATAAAAAAATATTAATAAAGTAGGAAGAAAATATTAAAATGAATACAAAATTATCAATCTTCCTTAAAAGCAAGAATATCAAAACTATTGTTTCTCTATTTATTCAAACTTCAAATAAAGTTGTTGATGGTATTTGCATGATAACTGTATCTATGCATCGACATTACAACTCATAGAACTGATAATAAATACAGTGTCCTCATCTATCAATTGTTTTCTCTTTTGTTAGTATCCTTTTTTCTATACTATAAGCCTATCTTACCATCCTCTGTCTCCCTCTTGCTCGGCAGACTATTATGAGAAGTTTGGCAGTGTATATTGAGATAAAAAAAAGTAAAGAGTGGAAACAACCGCATTCACTTTCTCCTTGCATAGTGCTAACATTATCATTGATTGTCTGCTTCTATATACGTCGTTGTCGCAATGCTTCTTGAGACATTTCTACCGATGCCTCGTCTTATACTTGTGATCGCTTTGCTACTCTCAAATGTTGAAAGTAAACTAACAGCTGTATCAAAGAAAAGTATTGAAGACTTCCACTTGAATCTATACAAGAGTATAGTCGCCACCAAACCAGACGACAATATATTTTTTTCACCATACTCAATCAGTCTCGCTCTTGCTATGATTACCGGAGGTGCACAAGGCAAAACAGAGAAAGAACTTCTACATCTTCTACAAATTCCATCCCGTAACCAATTAGATGCATTAGTTAAACAGCTTATGAGCATTACCCGTCTACCTGAAATCAAGTTGGCCAATCGATTGTATCCAGATAAGAAATTTCAGATTTTACCTGCCTTCAAACGACGATTGGAAAAGCTGCATAACATTACTCTAGTATCTGTTGATCTTAATGCAAAAAATGTCACGCCTGTTATCAATGGAATCAACACATGGGTATCTAATCAAACAGGCGGTTATATCAAGAAGGCACTAGACAAAAAAGATCTAGTTGGAAATACATCGCCCGCAGTGAATGCTCTTCTGATAATCAATTGTCTGTTATTTGATGGTACATTTCTTTTTTTCTCACATATGTTTTCACTAGATTATTTTTTTTCAGCAACATGGCAAGTTGAATTTCAAGGACAAAACACCCTAGATGGTAACACATTCTATCCTGATATTGGTCCACCACTAGAGAAAAAACTCACCTTAATGAGGAAAATGGTTTATTTCCTTACGTTGATTTAACATCGAAAATTGGCGCTAAAATGATTCATTTACCATTTGCAAATAAGGATCTCACCTTTACTATTATTCTACCAAATAAAAACATTAAATTGTCTCAAGTTGAATCAAATCTCACTCCAGCATTACTCAATTCTCCGACTACTACTAATCAGAACATATTTCTTTCGATACCAAAATGGAAATTTGAATTTGAAAGTCAACTAGAAAATATATTAAAAACGAAAATGAAACTCAACGATATATTCGATCAAAACAAAGCCAACGTGAAAGGATTATCAATGGAGAAAAATATATTTCTATCCAACTTGATTCACAAGTATATTCATTTATTAAATTGAATCTAATCAATATTTCGACTATTCTAGAACTTATATTATTGTCGATGAGAAAGGTGTACGAGCTGGTGAGTACAATTTTCTATTTCTTGTTTTTCTTGGATAACTTACGTTCCTTATGGATAGCGGCTACGTCTATTGCACGAATCATGTTAACGACTAGTACACGACCGGATGTCAATTTTCTTTGTAATAAACCATTTATCTATGCTATTCGATACAAACAGACGACGTTGTTTATGGGACGGTATGTCAAAGTAATTGACACGAGCAATATGCCACCAATTATGGACGACAAACGTGGATAACATGAGACTTTTGAGTACTATTGATAATATTTTCACATTGCTTGAATTAATAAAAAGACAAACTATGACTAGGATTAATCGAGGTCTTGAAACTAGTACATTTTGTTCAATGAGGACTGATAATAATTAAGTAGTCGTGCAAAAAAAAATCAGACTGATAGGAACATAATGCGACTCTCACCGCCTAAAAAGACACGTGAGGGTAGCAGAGCGCGGGCAAAAGTATTTTCTCCTATACTTTTCGTACGTTTTCAAGTAAAAGTAAATATTTTCAAGTGCAAGTAAAATATTTTGACTTGCTGTACTTGTAGTCGTTCTAGCTCTGGATGGTCGGTATGGCATATATACGAGACGAAAAACGAATCCTACACCTACACCCTCACTCTTTACTTCAATTTTAATAAATAAATGAATGTAGAGTTATTCTAACGCAAAATATTTTATTTCTAACATTTTATGGGAATTTTCGATCTTAAACGATCATTTTCAATCTCATTAAGTAAAGATTCATACATGAATTATACGAAAATAGTTATAAAGGTTGATGAAATAATATTTTTATTTATTTATGATGATTATAATGCATTAAACTCATTCTCATTTCATTGAGTTATCTATTGATCTATCTTAAATTACCATTGATTTATGATTGAAAATCAAGGTTAGGGTGTTCACGTTTATGCAGTTTTCGTTTATGATGTTAAAAACAAGTACACATAGTTAATAAATATATCATTGCCTGTAGTTTTTTGCGTTTTTTGTCATATTTTTGTCTTGTTAACATCTGATTATGCAGTTTTGTTTGTAAGGTTGAAAATGATCGAAAATTTCCATAAATGTTAGTAATAAAAGATTTTGTATTAAAATAACTCTACATTCATTTATTTATTAGAATCATTAAGTATTACAGAAATTGTTATAAGATTTCATTTTTGGAATTACTAAAGTATGATGAGATTACTACGCATGGGACATCTTATGATTCTTATATATTTTAAGTTTCAAATTATACTTATAAGGTTATCTCTCTCACAAGACGAAGAAATATATATAATTATATGTAGCAAAATATGAAACATTAAATTCAATATCCAATTATCATAATTATATTTTAAATTGTTAATTATGAATCGAGACCAACGACAATATTTAACTCGACGACATCACAAAAGCAATAACAAAAAACATGTTGAAATGCTCAATTTGAAACACTCAAACTTTATCATTGTTTTTAATCTATCTTGAGTGTCACTTTTCGCTAGTTATTTTTCTTTTTCTTTGTTTTATATATACTGGATTTTTTTTATAATGCAGAGTCCTGAATAGCGTTCTAATATTTCAATAAAATGAACATGTAACGTGCCAGCGAAATTTATATTCGACGAATAGTCGATTGCCGAATAAGCAAGAGCTGAGACTAGCAGATTGATTTATCTTTTCGTTAAAGAATAGATCGATCTGTTTTCGAATTGATTTAAAATCCCAAGTTTTTCATGAAAAACTCATAAGTAATCTTCTTGGTCCAGCAATTTTAATTTTTAGAGAAACTTAGTATAATGTGTCAGATACAAATTCTGCCCAAGCAGACAATAAAAAGCCTGCGATGGGTGCGACGAGTGGTCGAAAATATAAAGTATATCATTGTTGTTCGTTCTGTTTCGATTTCGAGCCCCTCAACAACCATCGAATTCCAAGGACTCGAAAAAATTCAAAAATATTTAGTTTATTCAATGAAATTGAAAGAATGATTTTTGTTGAACCTTTAATTTAATAATTCTCTAAAATTCGTTTAATATTAAACAATCAAAAATGATATGCACGACTCCTATAGAAAATGCTATTCATCAACAATAAATTCAGAACGAATATTGTGTTAGGAATCTCTGATAAAATATATAAAAATATTAATTTTACATTCTGTCACGAAATTAAATTATTTGTTAAATGAGCTACTTATACGACATTTGAAACTTGAAGAAAAGCTGATTTATTAGTTAGACGCATCTCAAATGAATATTTTTTCCATTTTAACCTTTTCTGTAATATTCGAAAATTTCGCGTAAATATTCAAATGTTCGAAGTACTATTATTCTTAATATCGAAAAGGCAATTTTCATCGAAGAAACATAGTTCATATTTATTTTAGATGTTCAACGACTATTCAACGTAAGTACTCATGTTCTAATCTTCTCCTCGGCATTTACTCGATAGATTTCGACGACTCTTAAATGAGACATTTATGTGTGAAAATTCGTTTTAATTTTGATCCCATCGGGGGGAGTAATTCTACTAATCGAAAACTCCATGTATTACTAACCCATCGCCGACCCCTTGATCCATCAGAAAATGGGAATCCGAGCAGTACGTTTTAGATTTCGATGGAAACGACAACCTCCAATCGAGTGGTCGAAATACTAATCGGATGACCGCTTGAGTGTTATTTCAGATAATGTCCTTAGAAATAAAACTATTTTTTGTTATGCAAAAGAAAATGACGATAATCACGATAGTACTTTATTTGTCCTTAAAAGTATTTCCATCGCTTCGCCAGTAAAGTGTACGTGTAGTGCGCGTGAAGTGTGAGTGATACATGCGTGAATATAAGACCAGAGTGTAACTGAAATACCGCTAAATTGCGATAGTGTACGTCCTTTACTTTACTTCGGAATATGGACTCTCGCTTCTCTCCCTGATGTAACTGCAGTGCGGTTAGCGAACAGCAAGGGTGATTGCTCCTAACTACAGAAGAAACGAAAAATGTTTGTGGGCGCACATATGTGCATCACCTTTTCATCTATCAATTACTCATTAATAAAAGTACAAACTAGAAGGACATTCGTCGAGTAAAACATCAAAGATATTTCTTAATGCTCGTCCTTATGACGTAGACACTCCGAAAAAACGTCTTTTTTCGATGATGAAGCGTATAAAAGCTCGATGTATTTCACATTCTTTGATGAAATGGGTCATTTGAATCTATGACTCTGAAAAATATTATTTTTATCTTTTACTTTTACATCTTTCAACTCGATATTAAGCTATGACCAATGATGTTGAATCGATTTTTGAAGATTTCGATTTTACTTACATATTTCAGAAGTACAACAGTTAGTGAGTATTTTATCACCAGCCGCACCTCGACATCGAGTGTGAGAGCGTGAGCTAAAATAATTATCAGCTGTAGATATCATACAGTTGCAAGAACCATGTGGCTACAACATAGTACAAGCAATTCAAAATTACAGTGCATTTGGAAATATGGAAAGCCTGATATCAGTATTGCGAGATGTTACCAAATTATACGAGAAAACAATTCATTACGATTTACCTGTAGTACAGATTTTCATATTGACCTATGGAATTGTGTAAAATCTTACCTAGTTCTCATCCAATCTTGTAGACATATGTAAGAGCATATAGTGAGCTTCCATAGCATTTTTAAATAACCGTACATCTGATCTTATAGGGAGATTCTTGGATCTCATTATTTTTCACAATCAAGTTTCCATAAAGCTTTACCGAGCACTTCAGAATAGGTAACCTTAAGACAGATACTTGACGTTGTAAATTAGTAACTTGTACATATAAACAGTAGAGAAATATTCATACAGTTTAGATTTTAGTTCTAGAAAATAGTTCGACATCAATGGGGTGTTGCTATAGCCTATCCGCACCCAATATTTCACTACGATTAACTGAAAACGACAAGATTATGGTTCGAACTGGTGATACGATTTCGGGTATAATCGAATTTTTCAACAGTGATCCTACGGAATTGGCATGTAATAGTCTAAAGGCTGAATTTGTTGGCTATTGTATTGTTTTTCTAACAAATGATGAAAGTTTTGGTACTACAATAAAACCATGCAAATTACCTTTTTTCAGCATATCGCTCTTTCCGAACTCAACCGATGAACAACAACAACAACAACAACTTACTTTTCCTCCTGGAAAAAACAGTTGGCCGTTTAGTTTCTCCCTTCCTGAATTTCTGCCACCTTCAGCTACTCAACTCAAATCTTATTCTCAATTCATTGAATACTCTATTGATTTTGAAATCATGTGTCCACGATTGTGTCGACGTAACACTGAAAAAACTTTTGTCATTCCAGCCCAGAATTCTTTGCGAACAGTAGCTGATAGACAAGTTCAAGATCAAAAGGAGAATCAAAGCGTTGTTAGTCTACGCGGTTATCTCGAAAATAATGTTGTCGTCACCGGAACAACCTTTACAATTCACTTTGAAATCGACAATCCGAATGGATCTACCATCAATGAAATATCAACTTATTTAGTTCAGAATCGACAGTTTGCTAATTCTCCGAAGGAACAGTTTATCATAAGTGAGCAGAAAATCAAGGACCCTCAACGACTTCAAAAGAATCAAGTGAAAGACAAAATCGATTTTATTGTGTCAACAACGCTTCCAGCTACGTGTTCATATCATCCTCCTTCTTGGCTTCCAGCACAACATATTGATATAGATTACTATGTTCTTATTCAACTTCATATGAACAGATCAATCGAGGATATTGTACTTGAGCTTCCAGTGATTGTCAGTGCTGTAACTGAACCAACAATTGATATTCCACCCAGTTATGAATCTATTTTCTCAACTGCACAGGGAATCTCTACTACTACTAGTAGTAGTAGTAGTAGTAGTAGCAGTAGTAGTAGCAGTAGTAGTAGCAGTAGTAGTAGTAGTTTGAATGGCACTGAAGAATAGACGTTTATATGCATTTATCTCTCATTCTAGGCACTAAATAATACTATTAATAGTATGGAAGCATCTATGATACTTAACTTTTATTTTTGTTCTATTTGTAATAAATTGATGAACCCTAGAAAACAGGATTATAGAGAGCTACGTCAAAATTAAGAATGATGAAGGAAATTGGAATCGATTATACTGAAGAATTTTCATTGAATACCTTTTCGTTAACAATAAATTATAAAGGACGAGAGACATTTTCGGGGCGATTTGAGCCAATTATTGACAGGGTGTGGGTGTGCATATGGACATGCATAAAATGTGTTAAGTATATACCCACACCCACACCCACACCCTATCTGGGTGAACATGGATAACATACTGTCTGATATAGATAATAGCCAGCACTGCAACTTTCAGCAGAAGCTATTAAAAAGAACAATGGCAATACTTGAATAACGAAATTCAGTTTCAGTTTTATAAATTCGTTATAAAATGTTTTCGATGATTTATTTCGTTGAAAATGTATGCAACCAGAGAAAATGTATTTATATGATGCATTAAATGCAAGATGAATAAGATTCATTCACACAAGGAAGTGTTTCTTGAAAAGAAATCATTATTCATTCGAAGAAAGACATTTTCTTTTCATCATAAAACGATTTCAAGATGACATGACGCATATAATTACATCAGTCATTTCAAACAGAAACTGCATATATTGAATGAATAATTCCGTACATAATACAAAAAGTAAAGTATATATGCATAAGGAGGTCAATTAAATTCCGTTTCGTGAATTGCATTCAACAGCGAGAAGTAAGAAAAAATAATCGCACAGGGATAACTGAATTCCATAATCGATCGGAATTCCTGAAAATCCTAGGAATTGGTAGGTAGTGGCTACCAGAATTGTGTTTGTAGTGATTGACAGAATAGGATGTATTCTCTCAATAAACCAAAATCGAAAATAGTGTGATGATCATTTTGATAAACATAAAAATGTACTTGCTAGCGGGTTCAAAGAAACGTTTTCAGAATGTGTCGCACAAAATGTGTTGTACCATCCCTGGAGATAGTATGTCCCCAACGAGCACCTAGTGTCGCGCAATTTATCGCAAATCCTGATACGTGCGACACATTTCAACTTACGTTAGTATTATAATTAGAGAAAGTCATTCTACTAACGACAAATATGGGTCTTTTTCGTAGACCGCTAATATCTCTGGAACTGTATGAGTGAAAGAAGATCAATTTATACCGTTTGAAAGTAGGAGACTTCAATGATCACGCATGTATAAATCTACTTTCATTCAAGTGTAAATTGTTCATGAATGAAATAGAGCAAGAGAAGTGAATTTTTTCTATCATCATTATAGATAATGACTCTAATAGTTGTAATTACTACCGGATAGACAAATCATGGATGATTTATTAAGTGTTTTCTTCTCTTGAGTTTTAGATATTGGTACAGGGGGGGGGGGGGGGTTT